TGATACTGAAGCCCATGCTCACGGCAGTATACCTTGGTGTAGTGAGCAGGCCCGTGCGTTGCTGCTCATAAGTTCACATTAGACAGGGCCAACCCTGCTGGAAGAACTTGTCAGTGACATCCCGGCTAAAATACTTCCCCTCCCATCAAGATCAGGATCGCTCCTGAAGAGAGGGTGCTAAAAATCCCTGGTCAAAAACAGGCCGCCCGACGTTGGTGAACCTTTGCACATACAATAAACGGACTAGGGGAACTGAATCCGACTTACTAGCATCACTTAAGGAACTCTCTTTTATTACATGGGATGTTGCAGGACTCTGTAATATTGAAAGCCTAGGCGAGGAACAGAAAATATTAACCCCAGGGTAACAAACAGGAATTAGGGGTAGGTTTCTTAGTTCACAAACGTTTAGAAAAGAATACCGTGGAATTCTATGGTATAATCGAAAGAGTGGTTTCAGTAACAAGTAACAACAAAACTAAATACCTACAACTTAAAGATTGTTCAGTTCCATGTTCCAACCTGCAGCCAGCGAAAGAGAAAAAAAAAACAATTCACAATGATTATGGAAGATTTTAATGTTAAAATATTTTTTTAAAAAGACATAAGGAGAACCGTAGTGTGGAATAACGGAATAGGCACTGGGAATGAGGGAGACAAATGCTAGTCGATTTTGCAGAGGCTAGATCATTCAATATCATTACATTCTTCGAAAAAAGACAAGAGCGGGAGTGGACATGGAAGTCGCCATCTGGCATAAAAAACGATACTGGCTTCATAATTTCAAATAGACGTGATATAGTAAAATATGTGGAAGTTATTAATAAAGTAAATCTTGGCAGTGACCATAGAATGGTCAGAGGCTAAATTAAATTACACCTCAGAACTTAAAGACAAGAGCGACGGAATTTAGCATTAACATCCAAAACAGATATTCACTTCTCAGTGACGAAGATCTCAACATTGACTAAATCATCAAACAGGTCTATGAAAGGAAGTTGTACTTGAAGTAGGCGTCAATAACGTGAAAGCACAAGCAAGCTCTCAGTAGAAACTAAACAGCATATGCAAAAACGTGGGGTCATGGAAGTATTATCAAACAAAGACTATAAATAAAAAGAAGAGAGAAGATGCACGGAATTCCAATACTCAAATCATTACTGAAACAGTGATCTCAGGTACAGCTAAAAAGAGACCCGGAATGGGGAGAAATCAAACGTATGCAATAAAGAAACCAGGCGGAGAAGAAACATATAACAAGAATTAAATTATAAGAGTAGTGAAAGACTTTTACAGGGATCCATACAACTCAGATGAACAGCCACGGATAGAAGCGAACGCGGTAATTAGAGACTACCTAGCATCACAACAGCAGAAATAAAAAGAGGGCTTAAAGGCATGAAGAGAGGGATAACACCAGGTGAACACGGAATTAGTATAGACTTTATAATAGATGCAAGAGAAATTGCAACAGTGAAATAGCCAATCTTTTTAACAAATGCCTTTTCAATGGATAAACTCCGAAAGCCTGGAAAAATGCAACAATTATTTTGATATATAAAAAGGGGGATACGAAAGGATCTAAAAACTACCGATCCATAAGCCTCTTTTCAGTTACTTACAAGCTGTTCACAAAAGTTGTAGTGTACAGCTGCGCACTCGCCGACTCTAAGGCCGATCTCGCCAGGACTGATATCGTCCTCGGACGCCGAGTGGTTGAGGCTGGGTCTTTACCATGCGACATGCTGCCTTTGACTTGGATGAGACGTCCCGGGCTCCTCTTCCACCAACGAGGCGGGCGCACTCGCTATGCACCCGCAAGAAGCTGGTGCTTCACCCACCATTAGCGCCTCGCCCACTTGACTCGAGTGCAACTTCATAGGCCGTAGCAAATGAAATACGAGCCGCCAGAGACAGTGCTAAGAAATAATATGAACATGGTTATAAAAATAATCAAAGAACGTATTTTAAACCAAGTCTCGTTACTTAGATGACATTGAAGTCACCGAGAAAAATAAATATTTATTTATCTTTTAAGTCCAATACCGTAGATAGTTACAGCATGAAATGTACAGTTTTTGCGTAAATAGCACATTACCAGTTTTCCTAGGTATCCTTTCCTTTATCTTTATCTTTCCTTTATCTTTTCGGCGACGCTTCCAAAGTGTCAATATAACCCCTGAAAAGAGTAATAGTCGTTAGATATTTTGAATCTTTTTTTTTTCTCCCTCTCTCATTTCATGGTGGTTCGGGTCCTTTGGGTTTGGACTACCGAACTATCGGGTTGGTCTTCCGATACTTCGCGTATCTTACTTAGGGCATGACTTGGGGGGTCTTTTTCGGGTATAAATATCCATGGTTTTGTGAGGGGAAGATAGTTCGGTCCTGACTTCTATGGTGAACAGTGGTTCTGCTCTCGTTGTTTGTGCTCGCTTTGGATTTACCTCGCTTTGGATTTCGCGCCAGGATTAACGAATTCGCGTTTTTCGCAAGCTAAGTATTATCTTATAGTTGTGTGTAAGAGACACCTGGTCTCTGTTGGACTTTGGCGTGTGAAATGCTGCATTACTATTTGCAGGGTGCACTCTCTTCCACGAAATCCCAAAGCAGCATTTTGATTTCACAAAGGGTCAGAGCATAAAAGGGACCACTTCACATAGAAAGGACACAGGATCCGTACCTCCAGTGTGCCATTTAATGTTGCAAACTAAGTTATTACTTTGTTGTTGTTTTTTCTCCCCATCCGTACCTCCTGGGAGAAAGACGTTCCACAATCTCGCCCATATTTTCAGGGCCATTTTAGTTTGTCTCTGCCATTTTACCGTTTTACTTTGTCTTGGTCGATTCCTGCCTGACCTTGTTCAGGTAGTCTTCGTGATTTATGCCCTTTTGGTGTTATTTAATCTTTTTACTTGGCTTCCGACGCTAAACTGTTTCTTACACCACGTTTTTTTCGTTATCTACACAAGTATTTTTATTCAGAGTTCCTCAGCACTATATATATATATCTGTATATATATGTATATATATATAAATTATATAATCTCCATTCTGGGTTGGAGATTAACTTGTTTAAATTAGGGTTTGGTGCATTTTCGTGCTAATACTCTGCTTAAAACATTTTTGAGTACATCTGGTGTTCGTGTCCACGTGCATCACCCCCGCTGTGATTAAATTGGTGATGTACGCATCTATCAATCTCTCGTGACTGAATTATTTGTAGAACTCCCTAGTGAGAGCAACTTTCTCAATAAATAACATACCATCATACCATCATTCACCCAGTCCCAGTCAGAACAAATGACATCTGTGTCACACACACATTCTGGTTCTGACTAAAGCTGAATGCGTGGAACGTTCTTGGGCTTGGGTCTCCTAAACAGCACCTTGCTGTTTACTCTATCTCGCAACCCTGAAAGGCTGTAAAAAGGCTAGATAAATCAGAGTATATTAAGCTGATATTCTAGAATAGATCATAACTTTATATAATCTTACATTTTTCTTCCATACACATTCACGCAGACGCTCAGCCTACGCTATCTCCCTTTTCATATTTACACACTTACACATCCAACATTCAGCACACACATTCTGTATTTTCCTTCCACCCTTCTCTCATACAACAGTCACACCCCCATACACAACACATACGGTTCCCGAACCCACTAATCGTGCCGTAGGCCTGGAACCTTACATCTGTTCACTGCAGACGAATCTTTTCCTGATTTTTTAAAATTCTCGGTCGAGCCCGAACTCAACCAGACACAGGAAAATCTACTTGGTTTACGCCTCGCTACAAAAGCCATCACAACTCGCATCTCTGACAATCTAGATTCTAACCAGCCTAGAGAACAGGCAGGCTTCTGCAGTGGATTCTCAACAACAGATCACATCCACATACTCACCCAAGTAGGAGAAAAAATAAACGAATATAGGAAACCCCTATGTATGACATTCATCGACTACGAAAAGGCGTTTGACTCTGTACAAATACCAGCAGTAATAGAAACTATTAGAAGACAGGGAGTAGAGGAGGTATATTGTAAAGTATTGGAAGATACATACTAAGATGAGACAGCAACCAAGCTAGAATGGAACGGAAAGGGTATCAAGATAGGAGACGAATACCTAAACAATTGAAAATCTGCTGATGAAATTGTTCTCTTCAGTGAATCTGCAAATGAAATGCAGCAACTCATAAATGATCTGAATAGATGAAGCCTGAAAGTCGGACTCAGGATGAACAAGAAAAAGATCATGTTCAGCAGAGTCAAATTCGAACAGATGCATGTACAAGGCGAAGCCCTAGAGTTAGTGGACATGTGATGAAGTAGTGATGATCTATTCGTGACGTCAGAGAATGACGAACTCCCTCCGACGAGCGATTGGTTTGACAGGCGTCCGCTGCAGTGCTTCCCTTCTCGATGCCCGCCTCAAGCACCAAGAAGCCAGGCACGGATTTATTGATACATTTCTTTTACAGCCATTAAGGTGATTTTATATTCCCTATGTTTCACAAGCACATGACGCACCCACACACATTCCCTCAGATTCGCGAACGGAAATCACACAGCGGAAGTATGCGTATCAGGCGTACAAATACACCGCAAATATAGCAAGGAAATAAACTGAACATAACTGACACGCCAAGTAACAGGTCGCGAAGAAAAACTGCTCGCCATCCACAGTGCCTCACACATACGGTCAGATAAGCTCTTATTTACACACACATGCAATACTTACGCATACACGAACACACTCGCAAGTGCACATTCGAGGTTGGTAATAGCATGGACTGTAGATATTCTTATTTTCTCATTAAACAGTGATATAAGTTGCTGCTCTTATATTTCAGCTATGCCTCCTTATGACGCTCCTGGACAAGTTTATATTCAGTTTTCCAGTTAGAATATTGCTCTTTACCCAGCCATGAACGATTAAATACTCGCAAAAAATCGCTTAATCAATCAAAGCGACTGAGAAAGAAACCAGTCATAAAAATGAACAACTACCCCACACTGAGTCCAAATGTACGCAAAGTGATGTCTAACAATCCTCACACTTGTCTATATTTCTGTAGAGCTCGTGTAGGCGGGGGCAAAGTTTAGCTTGTCGTGGTCGTGTCCGTCACTTCAAAGAGAAAAACAGACGGGAGAGGATAAAAAATAAATAAATAAATAAAAAATATATATATTATATATGTAAGTATATATATATATATATATATATTGACCTCCCGCAGCTCATCGTGCTCTCTCTCTCAACGGGGGTCGTATAAAATGTGAATGAATATTGTTACGCGCTATATTGGCACCTATTTTGGGTTTCAAAAGCATGAATTCGAACTAAACTTTATTTTTCGAGTGTGAAAGACGACTTTGGCTTAGCTGCAAAGTGAAAAAATGGTATTTTCATGTTTTTCACACTGATTCAGAACTAAAGACAAAATGGCGGCGCGATACAAAATATCGACAAGAAATCGCGTTTCTAATTAACGTTACTTTTTAATAAATTTACTCTTTATTTTCAATAAATAAAATGATATGGCAGCATATTTACAATATCCTTCTAATATGTAACCGAAGTCGTAATTATGTCAATAGAAAACAAATTAAAAGTAAAAAAAAATCCAAAATCAACGTGTTGATTTTTTCGTTTCGCAACTGTCTTTTGTTTTTGTTTTTTGGAATAACCTCTTTACTCTGAGTTGATGATGCGAACATCCCCACCAAGTTCGTCATTCCTGAGGCTAACCGCATCAGAGCGTAGACAACCCAACATAAGGAAGCCAAGCCGAGCGGAAGTCTTTTAGCTTTTGAGCGCAGACTTGGCCAACAGCGACAGGATGTAGGTGGCCAAGCTTTTGAGCAAGGAGTGCAAGTTCCTGCAGAAGGGGAAGGAGGTGCGCCTCGGGAAGGGCACGTACGGGCGCGTGGTGCGCGTGAGCTACAAGGGCAAGGAGTGCGCCCTCAAGCTGGCCGCCCCCGGCTCCAAGGTGGTGTTCGAGCACGAGATGGAGATGCTGAGGCGGCTGCAGGGCGCGGGGGGAGCGCCCATGGCCCTGGCGTACAGTGAGGATCCGTCGTGCCTCCTGATGACGTACCTGGGCAAGGAGTGCCTGGCCGACGTGCTGAGTGCGCAGCGCAGCCAGAAGCAGCTCCTGCAGCTGAGCGTGAAGCTGGCGGAAGCCGTGGCGGCCGTGCACGCCGCCGGCATCGTGCACTGCGACCTGAAGCCCACCAACGTGATGGTGCAGCTGCGCGGCGCAGCAGGAGCGCCGTCGGTGCACATCATCGACTTCGGGATGGCACTTCCCGTGGGCCAGTGCCACCCCGAGAGCAGCAAAGGGCGGCAGTCGTGGTACTGCGCGTGCGTGCACCAAGGCACGCCGCTGACGGAGTAGTGCGACGTGCTGGGCGTGGGCGTGATGCTACAGTTCGTGGCGGAGAGCATGAAGGCGCCGCTAGCGGCCCTGCAGGCGTTGGCGGAGCGAGCGCAGCGCCCCGAGCACGACCAGCGCCCCACGCTGGAGGAGATCGTGGAGGCGCTGGGCGAGATGCTGCGCCTCTGCCAGTGAGCACGCCCTTGGAGTCTTTTTTTTAAGGAAATCTTTTCGGTACCGAGACGCGCAAATATGTATTTAAAAAGAAATAAAAAAAAGAAAAAAGGAAAAAGAAGAAAATAAATAAAAAAGAGAAAAAAATAATAAAAAGCCAAAAAATATATATATAAAAAATAAAAAAGACAAAAAAAAATATAAAAAAAAATATATATACATTTTTACCAGCGTGTGCGTTTGTCTGTTTGTATGTGCTTGCGTGTGTGTTTGTGTGTTTGCATGTCCTTTTGTTTGTTTGTGTGTGCGTGCGTGCGTTTGTGTGTGTGTGTGCATACGTACGTGCGTTTGTGTGTGTATGTGTTTAGTGTGTGTGTGTGTTTGTATGTGTTTTTTTGTGTGTGTGCGTGCGTTTGTGTGTGTGTGTGTGTATGCATGTGTTTGTGTGTGTGTGTGCGCGCGTGCGTGCGTTCGTTTGTGTGTGTGTTTGCATGTGCTTTTGTTTGTGTGTGCGTGCGTGCGTTTATGTGTGTGTGTGTGAGTATGTTTTTATGTGTGAGTATGTGTGTGTGTGTGTGCGCGCGCGTGTGTGTGTGAGTATGTGTGTGTATGTGTTTGCATGTGCTTTTGTGTGTATGTGTGTGTGCGCGCGCGCGCGTGTGTGTGTGTGTGTATGTTTGTGTGTTTGCATGTGCTTGTGTGTGTGTGTGCGTGTGTGTGTGAGAGTATGTGTTTGTGTGTGTGCGTGTGTTTGCATGTGCTTTTGTTTGTGTGTGTGTGAGAGTATGTACTTGTATGTGTGTGTGTGTGTATGTGCGTGTTTGCATGCGTGTGATTGTGTGTTTGTTTGTGTGTGTGTTTGTGTATGTGTGTGTATGTGTGTATGTGCTTTTGTGTGTGTGTATGTGTTTCCGTGCGTGTGTTTGTGTGTGTTTTTGTGTGCA